TTACTACTTTTTATTTTTCAAAAAACCAAACAGATCATGCATTTAGCCATTCCTCATTTCGCTCAATTTAACAACTGTCTTTGCATGGGCGTGAATTCTGTGAGAATAGAACCATCTCACAGGCCTGGCATATGTACTACAGCGTCTCCAGCACGTGTTCGAACGGCAGGATGCGTCCGTGGCTGTCTCCTCCTCGCATTGGTGGAAGTTGGCCCAAAGCCTGTAGCAGGCCACTTTTGTGACCGTCACAAGAAGTGTTCAAATCTGGATCAGTTCTGTTATCAGATCCCGTTTGCAGGCCCCTTTACAGAGATTTGGGTATGCGAGGAAAATAGAGAGGGTTGTGGTTTTCCTGACACTTGAGTTCCCTGGAAACGGGGACACACATTCATGTATGAAAAGACGTGCAAAAGTGCATTTTGCATGATAGGTCACCTTTAAATGAAATCCTATCAAACTTAAAAGCAGGCCATCGAATTTCAACAACATTTGACCTAGGTTGTTTCGCAAAATGTAATATTCTGCCTGAGGCTGGGACTGCCAAATATTTTCCATTATTGGATAATTAATAACAATTTGCTGATCGCTGTTTTGATTCATTACTGACTGTTTACTCAAGGAAACGTGAAATGAATGGCCATCACAACTTCACAAATCCAAACCTGTCTTCATATGTATTGGTTCATTCGATCAAAAGTCTATATACCTAAAAATATTAAGTTTACAATTATGGCAAAGAAAAGCTGGAATCAGAGAATATTGGAATTGTTTTACTATTTCTGATTGAGAAAAAGTCTCAAACGAATAAAGGATTGTCGTTGCCAATTAAGTTTCTGACTAATTGAATGGACTTAGTAGGTATTTATTTTATCTTTTTCTTTTACTGTATAGTCCAAACTAGGTCAGATGTTACAGCATGGGTCCAATGCAGAGGTAATACAGCTGCTCAATGTGTGCAATTTCCCTCCAAAAAACTTGACTGACTGCATATTTAGGGCAGGGCAGTGAATGGGGGAGCAGCACAGTCATGTTGCAGCCTGAACAGCAGCACCGTGTAATTATAATCCAGTTGCAGCTTAGCCAGTTCCCAACTTCATTCAGCAGCCCTCTGCGTTGAAGCCACTCTATTCAAAATCACATTCAAATGCATATGTACAGTATAGCTTTAACTGTATTCCTGTTGAAGTTCTTTGAGATGCTGTATGTACATTACCCCACAACCTTACTATCATTCAGTACAGTATAAATATTGCAACAAAAGCCAGTAGGATTCAGCACTACCGTGACAGTTTTAGCTTGAGGGTGATGTTAGGCATTTAACAAGGCTAGCCAAGAGTCAAAGAAATGCACCAGTCTACCAGAACATACAGTGTCTAATGTGACTCTTGATGTACACACATGTATAATGTGCAGAATGAAAACAAGCCAACATTTACTCCTGACACTTGACAGCACTGCAGCTGTGTCTGTTCTTTGTTGGATAAAGAGAAGTTAGCTAACAGACCTGGCAATAAATACAGAACCACATCATTTCAATCTGGTCATCAGAGGTGGAAGAAGTACTCTTGTAATAAGTAGAACTACCAGAGAGCAGGAATACTCTGTTAGAAGTAAAAGTCCTTGATCAAAATCTTACGTAGGTAAAAGTACAAAAGCATTTAGCTATCAAAATATACTAAAAGTAGCACAATTAAAGTAAGTACTCAGATGCAGATTTGCTCATTTATTTCTCACAGCTGGTAAAAGGTTGAAGCTTATTATAATTCCTTCCAATAATGCAAGGTAGCTTGTGGATTTACTCCAAATCCAAATAAGCAAAGTAATTTAAGGTATACAAATAAATGTAGTGGAGTAAAAGTACACTATTTGAAAAACTCAAGCGAAGTACAAGTCCCTCAAAAATGTAACTTAAAGTACAGTAGTTGAGTAAATCTACTTAGTTACTTTACACCACTGCACATGTATGACTGCAGAATGAAACCAAGCTGACATGTACTCCTGACACTTGGCAGCACTGCAGCTGTGTCTGCTCTTCGTTGGCTAACAGACCGGGCAGTGACAACAAACCAACTCAATTAAATGGTTATTGACTTTGAGTTAAGGCGTTGACAGGCATTATCTGCTTACAATCTCTGTCAATGGTCTTATTTAGCCTAGTAACACGTTAATTAGTAGCTGAAGCTAATGTTGTTTCCTTGGCAGCGTTATAAACTAGCTAGTGAGATGGTTAGGTAACGTTTGTTTGCGTGAGACAGCAGCAGCCTCAGTAATAAGTGCAGCTAACGTTAGCCTTCCTCTGCCATGTTCGGACTTAACGGTCGCGCTCAGTACAAATGCCCACTGACAGTGACAGCTCTTCACAGCTAGCCAGCTAACATTTCCCCCGGACACGTGTCTACTAAAGATAACCAGCAAATAAATCTGACTGCGTTGAAGTTAAACTTACCATTTTTCAGCTCATGTTTCACAGTAAAGAGGTCCCCTTCTCTGGAAGATCCCTCCATCGGGGATGGCATCGTAATGTTCCAATTATATTCAAAGATGCTTTTCAGACAAGGTTACGTTCACCTCGCAAGCTAGTTTGCAATATTAACATGCGGACACATAATTATTAAGCGAGAGAGTAACACGCCTGTTAGTTAGGCGCCAAACTTAACAGATGTATGGGCAAAATGTTGCTACTAAACCTAGCAGCAAACAAGCCCAGTGAAAACACTTGCTTCTTCCAGCAGCACACCACAACTGCCACTACCTTCGCAACCAGACATTCCCTCTGCGCTGATTGGGGTTGCTATGTGGAAATCTGACCTCTGATTGGCTCTTTTCGTATAAGTGACAATTCATCCCGCCTTCCTCAAAAGCTGGTGCTGCCTTCACTTGTCCCTCGTTCACGCTCATGTCCGAGGTCAGAAGTGAAGAATTTGAGGTGCATTAAGTTAATAATTAAAACTTACTTCCAAGTTGGGAACAGTCATTTGTGGAAGAATAATAAGTCAGCTATTTACATAAATCAAAGTACTGTCCAAAGAAAAGTCCTTGATTAAATATCTGAAGTAAAATACTTTGTATTAGCAACAACAATCAATTTAGAGTAAGTACAATATCTCATGAGACATAATCTGGAATAATTAGAGCAGTCATTTTTATGACTCGCAAATTACTTTTTTTTACATTTTATGTATAGTATATTGTATCTCTAACTTGCATTATTTATGTTCAGATTCTCATTTTGTTTTAAGTGCAATATTTTCATTAATACACATATGTATAAGTGTTGTCGTAGGAGATTTTATTTTCATTGCTTCTTCATATGAAATAATAAAGAACTTTCACTTTAACTTGGAGGGTCCCTTGAAGAATAATGTTAATCATATCACTGGGTTATAGTTATTCTTGCAGTAATGTGTAAATTATGTAGATGGTAAAGATCATAATTGATGTTTTTTTAATGATGTATTAATACATTAGGATATATTTGTAAAGTAGTTGGAAACTAGAGCTATTAAATCGATGTTGTGAAGTAAAAAGTGCAATATCTGTTGACAGGTCGTATGAATTAATGGTCTTTCCATTTTTGAAAACTGTGCAGTCAGTCTGTTTATTAGATTCAGATTCAGATTCAACTTTATTGTCATTACATAGTACAAGTAGGCCTACTAGTGACGAAATGAGAGTTTGGCATCTGACCAGAAGTGCAAAATAGCAGTGCAGGTGTCTACATAATAAGAATAGTTATAAATAGGCTATAAACAGATGAATATGTACAGTATAAACGGTATTGACAGTAAATGACTGCATTTTGCTTGATTTTATATATGCTATCTTTAATCTAACCCTGTAGTTGCAGAAACGTTCAGAATGTTTATCTATAGTTGAGAAACAGGTCTTTTACAACCTGTATTTTTTTACCCCTCCTAGTTCCGGTTTTGTCAGATATGTGAAAAGTACCGTTTTTTTATTCTTGAGCAAAGTTTTAATTCTTTAAAACGGATTTCTACCTCCACCTTGTGGCGCCATGTTGCCATTGCTCTCATGTGGTATAACAGTTATAATTGTTGAACAATGCTTTAAGTACAAATGTGTTATATGTCATACATTTCCTAAATATAAAAAAAGTATAATAATTTGATTGGCAACGTTGATTTAAAGCAAACAAAAACTAGTTGTCAGCGATGAGAACTTTGGTCAGTGTCAGTGACAGTTAGGAGGCGTTTTGTGGCCCCAGGACGTCCAATGAGATACGAGCTCTTCAGAGTCAGCCAATGGCATTCAGGTATTTTCAGTAAGAACCAATCAGCTTCTGATCCGTTTGACGGTTTTCAGGAAGTTGCACAAACTCGCCGGGCTTGCTTCCTTCAGTGGTTTGACAGCGAGCTAGTTAGCCTCACTTCTCTGCTCTCTCACTGACCTCCGCTCCCCAAGATGGCTGGTGTTCGAGCCCTTGGTGTTCTTGCTAGATTCCCATCAAGGAGATACGCTCTCTTCACAGGTAGAAACTAAATGTATTTAATATTTACACATTTAAGAGAATCAATGCGGAGAATGACACTGAAACTACTGGGTTTGCTAAGTGCTGTGTGGGTAATTAGCCTGTTGGATTAGCTGTTAGCTCTGGAGAATGTGAGTGGTTAGGTGCTTCATTCAACACTGTTTTTATTGACAACAAACATATATTTAAAACAATTTCAACCAGAGTCTTTTTTGTAGGTGGAACTTTTTAGTTTTAACTTACAAAGTTAGTTAAAACGTGCCATCTGTGCGTGCTAATGTTAGCAGGCTGCTACGGAATAGGTTATGTAGCTGGTTAAACATGTACGTTTGAATTCAGACTGCTTGTTATTTTAAATTAAGTTGTCCCTTCCAGGAAAGTGTAGACGGGGATATACAAACTTGTGCCATTGATTCGCCATTGTGTCGGCTACTTTTGGCTCTGTCTGTGTGAATGCCTGGCGGTGAATGTAGGTGAAAGGTCATTTTTGCACTAGGTGACACAATATGGTCTGAGGTCATGGCCAAATATCATGTGAACGTCTAATAAACTTTTCATATTAATGTTGTACGAAGGCAGTGTGTTTATATACAGTGTTTAGGGTTTAATGCTGTGTGTTTCTTTACATGGACGTAAGGGTAAAGCAGATTGGGTTGGATGACGTATTAAGTGCTGACACATGACTAGTAATAATGTATTGCTTATTGTCATTTTTACAGGTGGTACATCTCGCACCTTCTCAGTAGCTCCTGCAATGCTAGGTAATTACATAAGTTTACCTTTTTACAGTATATGTGGAAAAGGGCACCTTGTCCTGTTCAATGACAGTATTATTTTCTCACTGTACTATATCTCCCTTATTTATTTTTAGCCCGGACCCATGTGAGCTATGAAGTCAAGGACGATGTGGCTGTTGTACGGATCAACGACCCAAACTCCAAGGTGTGCTCTCATTGAAAATGTATGTGACATTAATCAGAACTATGCAGGTGTAATGTGGACCTAATGGTCATCTTCTCTTCCCTGCAGGTCAACACACTGTCCATCCAAATGCAAAGGGAGATGGGAGAAGTAATGCAAGAAGTGTGGGCCAACGATGATGTTAAAAGTGCTGTACTCATCTCCTCAAAGCCGGGGTGCTTCATCGCAGGAGCTGATATCAAGTAAGAGAAAATCTCTTTTAATCCACCGCCATATAACATTTTGATTGTTATTACACAGTTAACCAATTAACTCAATATTTACGTGTGACCATTTTGAAAATAAACTGCTTTTGCTAAAACACAATACATGTATATTATGCATAGCCTGAATTAGGATGTTCTAAAATTATATTACAACGAATTAACACAATGGAGATTCTTTGTATTTGTTTTGTGATATACTTAACATCTCTTTCAGTATGATTTCGGCCTGCAAAAGTGCAGAGGAGGTCACAGCACTTTCTCAGGAAGGGCAGAAGATGTTCAACATGATCGAGAAATCGCCTAAACCCATTGTGGCGGCCATCAACGGCTCTTGCTTAGGGGGAGGCTTGGAGGTAAAGAGAAACTATTTCAGAGTAAAACAATGTTTGAGTAAATCATGAATATGTGATGAAGATGATTGATAATGATGAATTATACAGTAATGGGCTCTTTTTGCATTTCAGTTTGCCATCGCCTGCCAGTACAGAATTGCAACAAAGAGTAAGAAAACCATTCTGGGTACTCCTGAGGTGATGCTGGGTCTTCTGCCTGGGGCTGGCGGCACTCAGAGACTCCCCAGAATGGTACGTCTTTTATATATGAATATGTGTCCCCGGTGTTCCAGGGAACTCACCAAGTGTCAGAAAACACAACCCTCTCTCTTTTCCTCCATACCCAAATCTCTAAAAACGGGGCTGCAACGGATCATACAGACTGATCCAGATTTGAATTAATGTCACAGAAGTGGTGCTCCGCCTATATGGCCAACTCTCCACCTATCAGGGGAATGTGGGGTTGGGCACCGCCGGACATTGCAGCTTGAATGCGCTGGAGACGCTATAGTAAATATGCCAGGCCTGTAAGTGGCGCTGTAGTCTGCCACAAAAGCAGCGAAGAAGACTTCCTGCGCATGGTTGCCATGGTTACCCTTCTGTTTATTCTCCACTGTGGCTCTTTTTCTCCCTCCCCGAGGCAAGCGTTTGCTCCTCTGCTGTATTTAATGTAATCCCTCCCTCGCTGTAATTCTCTCCGGTTAGTCCACCAGCAGATGACGAACACCCACCTCTCCGCCTCTTCCAAGGAACGAGGGGACCGTGCGGCAGAGTTTCAGTTAGATTTTTTTTCGCCGGTCAAGATGTCCGTTAAAGTTTAAATATTCCGGACAAAATTAGAAAAGTACCGGTTAAAGGTCTTCTTTGTTATTTATTGAGCTTTAAATCAAATGAATAATGACTCTATATAATCATATATAAGAATAAAACACGGAGGACGGAGATCTCTTTTTGTCCCCCTCTTCTCCCAGCTGCAGGCTAGCAGCTGATCTCAGAGCACGCTCCCCTCACCTGCAGGGGGGCGTGTTGAGCTGCATCTCACAGAATCAGCGAAAGAAAAAGCATAATAGAGCGAAATGAGGCATGGCTAAAATGCAGTATCTGTTTGGTATTTTGAAAAAAAAACTATATTTATAGACTTTATATAGGTATGGCCCCACAATATATTGTTCAAATATAACATGATAGTTCACCTTTTAAGTACAAAAACTATACAGATGATGCAAACCATGGTTGGCGAAGGTGCGCTATAATTGTTATAGATTCTTGTTGTCAGTACAAAACCTGAGATGGCTGGGCTGTAAAGCAAAACAGACTGGTTAATGCTCATAATTGGTTTAAAATGTTTACGTGCAGGGTGAAGATCCTGCCAAACAGGAAACAGATTATTCCCCCAAGTACACCATGTCAAGTATCTCCTTTCCTTCAAACTGCAGGATTATTACTGATCTTTGTTTAATCACAGAACATCACATTCAATATTGTTGATACATCTTGTTTTACCTGCAGGTTGGTCTCCCCAATGCCTTTGACATGATGCTGACAGGGAGAAATATCAGAGCGGATAAAGCAAAGAAGATGGGCCTCGTCCACCAACTCGTAGACCCACTAGGTGAGCTGTCTTGAGTTTTTAAAATCCATTAATTCACCATTCAGTGTATGTAACAATGCTTGAGTATTTGACTTACAGTAGCACCCATGATAAAATAATAAATTAACTGATTATTTTGATATTTGTGCTCCTATTGTAGGACCTGGGCTGAAGAATCCTGAGGAGAGAACGATGGACTACCTTGAGGAAGTTGCCATTCAATGTGCCAGAGGGATCGTCAACAAGACGATTCCTCTGAGCAAAAAGAAAGGCACTATGGAGAGTAAGTTGTGCTGTGAATTGAGCATTTAACCCGTTGTAGTCACATTAGTTTGATTGACTTTTTAGTTAGTTATGTGCACTACGATAAAGAGTTTATGTTCTTTCTCTATAGAAGTTCAAGACTACGTTATGAGCTTTGAGTTTGTGCGGAACCAGATTTACAAAACTGTTCACGGGAAAGTGATGAAGCAGAGCAAGGGACTCTATCCTGCACCCCTGAAAATCATTGAAGTAAGTGAAAACTCTTTACAACTGTTTTTGTTAATAAATCTGGATGGTATTGGTTATACAATTAAGAAGATTCCCTAACTAGTGTGCAACTGTATTCTTTCTAAATAATCCTTTTTGTAAAAGTTGGTCTTATTTTTAACATGACAACATACCAACTTCTCATTCACAGTCTGCGAAGACAGGAATAGAACAAGGCCCCGATGCTGGATACTTAGCTGAGGCTCAGGTGAGGTTTTATAGCCTACATCATCAGTGAATTCAGTATTTTCAGTTAAACATTGTGTGTCATACTAACCAATTGCATGTTTCGTGTCACAGAATTTCGGTCAGCTGGCACAAACCTCAGAATCGGCAGCCCTGATCGGTCTGTACCACGGTCAAGTTGCGTGCAAGAAGAACCGCTTTGGAACTCCTGAAAAAGAAGTGAAGTAAGTCTACCATTCACATACTGAGCTTATGTGGGGGACAGTTCCCACATGTTAAGTCTACATTTATAATTTCTGATTAGCATGTATGGTCTTAGTTAAATACTTGGTCGATACTAATGAAAAAGCCAGGTCTGTTGTCACAATTACACTAATAGCAAACACAATACTTAGGTGTAAATGAAGTATAACGGTGCGTCCACACAGCAGCGTTAAAAAAAATTTTCCAACGCTTCTGCCCATTCACTTTGAATGGGGTGACGTCACTTTGCCTCACTTTTCGCCGAACTGCATTGTGGGAAACAAAGCGGAGATTTCCAGGAATCTCAGGATTCAAAAGTTGAGCAATGTTCAACTTTTGAATCTTCTGAAGCTTTCGGTGGAAGCGTCAGCCAATCAAATCATATGCCAGTACAAGCTCTAGCCAATCAAACCGCTGCTTGTGTGTCAGGGGCGGGAGATTCATGTGATTGGTTGTTGGTCGAGCCTCAGACACGCCCGCCGGCAAGCTTTTTCCAAAGCCGCTGTGTGGACGTACCGTAAGAGTCTTCCTATGTTCTAATTTTCAGATGTTTTTTTTTAGACTGGAGATAAACTGTAACGGTGTTTTTGTTGTTACTTTTAGGAAACTGGCCATCTTGGGGGCAGGTCTGATGGGAGCAGGTGTTGCACAGGTGACAGTGGACAAAGGTGTGCACACGGTGCTGAAGGACACCACTCTGACTGGACTGGCCAGGGGAGAGCAGCAGGTTTACAAAGGGTGAGATCATATACTTCAGAATCAGAAATACCTTTATTAGTCCCACAGAGGGGAAATTTGCAGCGTTACAGCACAGACAGCTTAGTGTTGCATATCTTACATGCGTTAAAAAAAGTACTAAGTTATAATATAATAAACAATATGCTAAAATAGTACTAAGTTATAATATTCGTATCATATTAGTTGTTTCATTGAGAACATTTTTTTTAAAAGTATTTTATTCACACATTTTTATCATGACTATGGTTGTCTAAAATATGGACTACCGTAGATAGAGAGCACATATAAGTAGTTGCATCAGTTTTCAAATCTTAATCATTGATTTTTGTTCTGGTCACTATCTGTTGTATGTTATTGGTGATTGTTGTAATTTGTAATCTTGCAAAATCGTATTTGTTGTCAATTAAATGTTTTGTCTGGGCTGTTTTTTCTTGCTCTGTTAAGCACTGTGTGCAGCATAGCGGTATACAAAATGCTATATTACTAAAGTTGAGTTAAATGTGTGTTAATATAGTTCCAGTCTAATACCAGAGCAACCTTTATACATTAGCTTTGAAACATATTGAAAATAGTAGTCTTTTTAGGCACAAATGTGTTGGAATCTAAAACATGTTTCTTATTTTAAACAAGGCTCAACGACAAGACCAGAAAGAGGGCCATCACAACATTTGAGAGGGACTCCATTCTGTCCAACCTGTCCGGCCAGCTGGATTACAGCGGCTTTGAAAAGGCCGACATGGTCATTGAAGCCGTGTTTGAAGACATCAACATCAAGCATGCCGTCCTGAAGGAGGTGGAGGCTGTAAGTGTGACTGAAATTAGGCTCAATAGGGCTTTGTTACAAAAAGTTGTACATATCAGTCGGGTATTACCACTTGCAATGTTCTTGTGACTATTAGTTCAATTTGACTTTGACCTTTTGTGTGCAGGTGATTTCCCCTCACTGCATTTTTGCCACCAACACGTCTGCTCTGCCCATCAAGGACATCGCTGCTGTCAGCAAGAGACCAGACAAGGTTTGGAGAGTCTTGTAGTTATACTTCATCAAAGAAACCATGGGTTGCTGAATACTTTTACTGTGTATCCTCAGGTGATTGGGATGCACTACTTCTCTCCAGTGGACAAGATGCAGCTCCTGGAGATTATTACCACTGATCAGACGTCAAAGGACACGACAGCCTCTGCTGTGGCCGTCGGCCTGAAGCAGGGCAAAGTCATCATCGTTGTTGGGGTGAGGTTTAGCAACACATGAGATTCCCTTTTCTCTTCATAGTTACCAAACATTCTATATGAAACTTTATTGTTATTACTATATATATTAGGGATAATATTTATTATTAGGAATGATAAAAACAGACATACAAGTTGTTTTGTTGCCACTTTAAACTCTAATATTCTGCACAATCTTTTATTCTTAGGTGACAAATTCGTATCGTAAACATTTATTTTATATATTTATATTTCTTATAAGCAATCCTTTTTATATTTTTTAGTTGTATAATAATTTTTTAATAGCTTTTGAAAAAGTTGTGTTCCTTTTTTTACCACTTTATTCCTTATTTTTATTTTTATATTATTATGTATTTACAATTATACACCAAAGCAAATTCTTTGTCCTTAGCAATAATCCTGATTTTGAAAAACTAAAATATTACTTGCAGAAGTAGCTTGACTTAATTGCAACCTTGATAATTGCACACTAATAATTGCAAAATATTATTGGCCCCTAATAAAAATGCAAACGCATGTCTTTGCAGGATGGACCTGGTTTCTACACAACAAGGTGTCTGGCTCCCATGTTGGCGGAAGCAGTTCGAGTGCTTCAGGTCAGTGTGTTCCTACAGCGGGAAACACAGCTGTTAACATTGTTTTTATTATGTAGTGTAATCAAAGGATTTAAGACCTAAGATGTAACCCATTCATTATTCAGGGGTGGTGTTAAACGTGTGATACATTTATCCATCTGCTCTCACAGGAAGGACATGACCCCAAGAAGTTAGATGCTCTCACCACAAGCTTTGGGTTCCCGGTGGGTGCCGCCACGCTGGCTGATGAAGTCGGTATCGACGTCGCCGCCCATGTGGCCGAGGACCTGGGCAAAGCTTTCGGCTCCCGCTTTGGGGGTGGGAACGTGGAGGTTCTGAAGACCATGGTGGAAAAGGGATTCAAGGGTACGGATGATCACATAAAATAATTGTGCTCCACGAAAAGTTTGATAAAGTTGATTTAACTGTATTCATTCTTATTCTTTTTTTATTTTTAAGGCCGCAAATCGGGAAAGGGTTGCTACGTCTACCAGCCAGGACTCAAGACCAAAGATGTGAACCCAGATATTGGAGATATTCTTGAGCAATTCAAGCTGACACCAAATCCTACTGTGTAAGTTAAAACTGGACAATTAAATGTAGTGATTTACGTCATAATATTTGCCTTGTCTATTTTAAAATGACTATTGCAAGTATAACATGCGTTTGCTGTTGATTCTAATACTTTTGAATATTGACTTACTTGTGAATCTTTTACAGTTCATCCGACTCTGATGTGCAGTTCAGGCTGGTTTCCCGGTTCGTCAACGAGGCGGTGATGTGTTTGCAGGAGGGCATTTTGAATGGCCCTCTGGAAGGAGACATCGGGGCCGTGTTTGGGCTCGGATTCCCCCCCTGCCTCGGAGGTCAGAGTTCAAACTAAGTCTCGGTCATCTGAGCCGCTCGTGCTCCGAGGCTGCATCCTCTGTCAATAAAAAGAGCATGAGGAGTGTCCTCTTTGTTCCATGTTAGGTGTAAATTGAAAAGCCTAGGAATTGCATTTAAGGATACAATGTGACTTAAAAAAACTATTTAAATGTTTTTATCTAGTTTTATTTTTTGTTCAGTAACTCAGTCTATCCTGAGGTGAGGTTAAGCCGGGAAAGCTAAGGATTAACATGGTTACATTTAATGAAATAATCCTGGTTTAAACATTAACCTGGCTTTCTGAAAGACCCCAATGCTGTTCACAGAAAATGAAAACAATATATTAGTTATTTAACATGTAACTTGATAATGTCTCTACCTCTTCCAGGACCTTTCCGTTTCGTGGACAGCTTTGGTGCCGATAAGCTGGTGGAGAAGATGAGGCGTTTTGAATCCGTCTACGGGAATCACTTCACACCGTGCCAGCTCCTCCTCGATCACGCAAAGGATCCTAGCAAGAAGTTCTTCAACTGACCGACTCACCGTGTGTGCCAGTAGCTGTTAATAGTCCTCCAGTATGCCGCTAGAATGTGCCTAACATTTATACCACGAGTGGAGGGGCAAACATACTGAAATGCACTCATGTTGTCAGTGTATTAGGTACACTTAAGTAAAATCAATGCAGCAGTCCTACGCCTCAACAGACACCTAACATTATAAAATTGTACAATTTATCACAGGGCTGTTGTTATCATCTTAGTTTTAGCTGGTGAACCTAATAAAGTGGCCACTGAATGTGTTACGTCAGCAACATTGGATGTTTTTTTGTACTTTAACATTATTGATTTACCTGATGATAATGTATAAATTAAGGAGGCTTATTCACACATTGTGGATGTGAAATAATAAAAATATTTTCCAAATGTGGCACGTTTGAATTATTAATGAATGTCTGTCTACCAGTATGGTTCGGAGACTTGCTTTCTTTTTTTGTACATGAAAGACTTTCTGTCCTGGTCTGAACAATGCTGTAAATGTGGAGCCCGAATAAAAACATTGTTATGGAATCAAATCAGCTTTTTACCCCTAATGTGTTCAGGTGCAAGTTATGAAGGTAATATATCAAAATTACAGAATGAGATCACAGCTGCGTACCATGAGAAGATTTGCTCCAATCAGATTGGTCGCGCAGGTCACATGACGGCTGTCTATTGTCCGCAGAGCAGGGTGTGTACCGCGGGGAGGCTGTGTGGGCTGGGCCGGGGCGGATGGGTGTTTTTTCTCCAGTAGCTGCCTGCAGCCTCTACATTTCTTGTGACATCGCCTCTGTTCGGGAGGATGCTCTGCGCGGAGGAGACGCTCCTGATGGATTACACGAGGTGTGTCCGTCTGACATGAAATCACAGCGGCTGCACCTGCATGAAGAAGAAGAAGAAAACATTGGGAGAGGACCCCGCCCCAGAAAATGCATGTTTAAAACGTGGTGAGGATACTTTTCACTTCTGACCAGCATGTCTAAAAGCAAACAGTGCGAGGCGGTGAGGGTGGTGGTCCGCTGCCGGCCCTTCAGCAGGAAGGAGGAGAGCCAGGGCTGTGAAGACGTCCTGCAGATTGATGACAGGCTGGGGCAGATCACCATCCGGAACCCGAAGGCACCACCTGATGAGCCCATGAAAGTGTTCACGTTTGATTCAGTGTACGGCTGGGACTCAAAACAAGTGGACATTTATGATGATGCTGTGAGACCTCTGGTGGAGTCTGTGCTCAAAGGCTTCAATGGGACTACATTTGCGTACGGACAGACCGGGACAGGTAAAACACACACCATGCAGGGGGTTTCAAACGACCCCGAGATGAGAGGGATTATACCAAATTCATTCCAGCACATTTTTACACAAATATCCAGGACTCAGAATCAGAAATACCTGGTGAGGTCATCCTACATGGAGATCTACCAGGAGGAAGTCAGAGATCTGCTGTGCAAAGACAACAACAAGAAGCTGGAGCTGAAGGAAAACCCAGACTCTGGGGTCTATGTGAGGGGTCTCTCTTCAGTGGTGACTAAAAACGCCACTGAGATTGAACATGTGATGAACATAGGAAACCAGTCCAGGTCTGTGGGGTTCACCAACATGAATGAACGCAGCTCTCGCTCTCATGCCATCTTTGTCATCACCGTGGAGTGCAGTGAAGTAGGGCCAGATGGAGAGGACCACATCCGGGTGGGGAAGCTGAACATGGTTGACCTGGCTGGCAGCGAGCGCCAGAGCAAGACAGGTGCGAAAGGGAAGCGACTAAAGGAGGCAGCCAAGATCAACCTGTCCCTGTCAGCTCTGGGGAATGTCATTTCAGCTCTGGTGAACGGGAAGAGCACACACATCCCTTACAGAGACTCCAAACTCACCCGCCTCCTCCAGGACTCACTGGGGGGCAACGCAAAGACTGTGATGATAGCCACGGTGGGGCCATCGCACAAGGACTTTGAGGAGTCCCTGGCCACGCTGAGGTACGCCAACAGAGCCAAGGACATAAAGAACAAACCTCGGATTAATGAGGATCCCAAAGACGCCCTGCTGAGGGAGTTTCAGGGGGAGATAGCACGCCTGAAGGCCCAGCTGGAGGAGAGAGGGATGCTGGCGAAAGAGAGGAGGAGGAGAAGGAACAGCAAGAGGCTGAGTCAAAGTCTGGCGGGGATGGAGGAGGAGATGCTCAATGAGAGGGATGCAGACGTGTGGAAGGCTTTTGTGGATGAACCAGTGGTGACGCGTCGCATACAAGAAGGGAGTGACCACCCCAAGGTGATGCTCTGCCAGGGGAGCGGAGAGAGGCTGAAGCACCTGAAAGACAACCGGAAAAGTTTAGTGGACATGCAGTGGGATCCAGATGCTTTGGAGAAGATCATTGAGAAATATAAGGTACATCAAATACAGTACAGTCTGATGAATGAGGTGGAACAAAAGAAATGAACATAAATAATTCATTGTATGTCTGGGTTCACAGGCTATGGAGAGCAAACTGTTAGTGGGAGGAAAGACAATAATTGATCACACTAATGAACAACAAAAAATGCTGGAGCTGAAGAGACAAGAAATTGCAGAACAGGTACAAATATATAGCTTTTTTATGTGTTTTTGTTTTAAAACATACTTTTGTATTACAGATAATAATTGTGGGGCTGTCTGAACCTACACAGGAATGTTTTTTTTAAATTAGACGTAATCTGAACGTTCTGTGTGATTTTGCAGATAAGACGAGAGAGAGAGATCCAGCAGGAGATGATGTTGCAGGACGAAGAGACCTTAGAAATGAGAGAGACATTCTCCTCCCTGCAGCAGGAGGTGGAACATAAGACAAAAAAGCTGAAGAGGGTAAGATGACTCACCCGCTGACGCATCCTAATGCTATCACAAAAGCAATAAAAACCTAATTTCATTTGCAAGAAAAAAAAATAAAATCAAGAGTGACATCGCCAGAAGTGACAACAGAGAATCTTGTTTCTTTGTCTATAGGAATAAATACATCTCGTCTCCTATATGTATAGAGTATAGTTTTTCAAATAACTTGTGGAGTAAAGCAATAGTGACACCAGGTATATTGTAGTCATAGTATATATGTGCTCTTCTTTGTACAGTTGTATGCCAAACTACAGTTGGTGAAGGCGGAGACGAGAGACGTCATCGGCGAACACGTAGTCATCCGACAGGAGCTCGAACAGACGCAGACCGAACTCACCAGAGAACTCAAGTACAAGTGAGGAGACACCTTTTGGCTGTTGCATTATTGTCCTTGTGTTCACATCATTCAAGCTGCAAAGATAAATCGAATAATCTATCAGTCGGTGGATAGAAAATTATAACGACCAATTGGATCATCAATTCAACATTTAATTTAATTTTCATGCAATAAATGTCAGGAAGTGCTGTTTCCATCCTCTCAACTGACACAATCAGAAATAGCAAGACATCAAATTGGATTTTGATCAATATAAACAATAATTCATGTAATTTCAGAGCATTTTGGTCTAAATAGGATGATTTCCCTGTTGTATTAGGATATCAGGAAGGGAGCACAACTGTAACTAGGTCAGGAAATAAATGCTTTTTGTTGCTCGGTAAGCAGTTTTTTTTTAATGGGCAGAGAGAGCTAAAAAAAATCAGCTAGTAATGCATTTTTTGATTATTTTTACATAATGTGTGTTATACCATTTTCAAGGCATGTAAATGTAGGAACATTTTTATTACCTTTATTCTAGTAGTTTGTTTTGAGCCTGTGAAGTAGGTGAACTATTTCATTTGATGTTGTTGTTTTAATGTAATGCTTCCTCTGACCCCAGCTGATACACACTTGTGTTTCACTTGGCAGATATCTCTTGATTGAGAACTTTATACCTCCAGAGGAGAAGAACAAGATCATGAACAGGCTGCACTTTGACAGCGAGGAGGATCAGTGGAGACTGCACTCCGTCATCCCCTCAGAGAGGTCAGTGATTTCATGTCACATCGCTGGCATCACTCTCCGTGGTACTGTGAAAAACTACTTAACTCTGCTGTTACTATGCTTTTTATATTGATCTACAAATGTTACAATTTCTGGAAAATTAAGGAAATCTGTTCAGCATGCCATATCAATTTAAACTGAGAAACACAGCAATTTCCAGCAGTTCAGAGTGGGCTTTACATCTGAACAACTGCAAAGTGCTGAGGTGCCTTCTCCAAAGCTGACAAATTAATACCAATAACATATATATGAATTAAAGACATGCGTATCTCTTGATGTCTGAAACCCAAATTAAAATAAAATATAACTTAAATGTTAAATGTTAGCTTGTATGAAAACAAGCTCTCAAGTAAAAAAAATCTCTCTTGGAACTTTGATGTATCTGGTTTATCAAAAAACACTAAATACAACATTTTTATTTTTATCAAATGTTTCTTTTTAGAACTCTGACATAATGGTAACATTAATTTCAGAAAAACTGCAGATTTTTCCATTAAAGGTTTATCAGAATTCTAAGATAATAATCTTGTTAAATCAGACAAATAAGAGGATGATTGCATCAAGTAAATGCCTTTTGTGTTTCCATGTATTTGAAATATCCTACAGTTTTTGCAGTCATGTCAGCCCCGGTGTCTATTTTCATACAACCACCAGGAGTCACTAAAGTCAGAGGTTTTTAAAATGTAAACAGGAGGGCGTAATGTAATCTGACCTCACATGCTATAGGTAATTTATGCAGTCTGCGTCTCCAAGAAACAGATATTTTTATTTAGAAATCGAGACACTTTTTCTTTACTGAGACAGTGTGAAAGCTGAACAGCAGATAAGGAAGGATAACATTTGACCACAGAAGCTTGTGCATAAATAACTATGTGTACTAAGCCTGAATATAAAGCCTTCCTTTCCCATGTCTTTACCCCAGTGCCCCCACTCAGGTCAAGCGAAGGCCTCCCTCGGCGGTGGGATACAAGAGGCCAATCAGCCAATATGCACAGATGGCTGTTTCCACGGCAACTGGGGTCCCATACAGATACCAGGTCAGTGCTCGGGACAGTTGGAGAAAAAGGACAGCAGAGAAAGAAATGTGAAATCATCGGTCTCTTAATCAGCCTCTATGTGTTCACAGCCTCCAAGTAGCCATGGAAACTATTCACATCTTTAACAGTTGCATCTTATGACTGTTGTGTAATGTTTTTATACTGTTCATGCTCACTGCTTGTAGCACTTCGGGATTTGAAGTCAAATATGAAGTGCTTTATAAATGAAACCCATTATTATTATTATTATGACAGTGCACCACTCATTTAATATCACAAAGTAAAGAAATACTGTTTGACTGACACGTTTTATGTTGTCACCCAGTCAAGGGAACCAGGTTTTCAGAAATGCTAACCCACTTTTTTAAGATTTTAGAACTCATTCCTGCACTTCTCTATAATATTCAATTATAAGATAAGATGAGATAAGATGTACTTTATTGATCCCAAATTGAGAAATGTTTGCATTGCAGCAGCATAAAAGACAAGGCATTGCACATAAGTAAAAATGGAAAGAGTAGAAATGAGCTATTCTAAAATGTAAACATCTAAAAATTGAAATAAAACAGCTTTAAAAAGTAGAAAATATACAAGCTGACGGTGAAGATAAAAAAATCTATAAAGTATCTGACGAATAAAACACTATTGAAGTCAAACAGTTAACAGTATTACATTCATTTCAACAAAATTATTTTAAAAAGGACGGCAATACACTCAAGTCCACACACTGTTGCTTTGAGGAAAGCTCCTTGCTAAATAAATGCATTTAGTAATGGTATAATAATTATAGCTTTCCTTGTTTCTGTCCTTACAGGCGGAGAACATAATGCTGTTGGAGTTAGACATGTCTCCACCCACCATGTTCTCCTTGAACCTTGATGGCGCTCACCTGGAGAGAGCCTTTTCCCCCAGGCTGATGGGGGATTTGCTGGTCACTGTCCCCATGAGAGAGAGGAGCCCTGCAGCGTCCCGGGTCAGGAAATCACAATCCTGGTGAGAGAAGGGTGCTTTAAGGGTCAATCCTAGTTTCTTAAATACAGTTATAAGTACAGTATTTCTTTTTTTTAAAAATGAGAATCAATTGGTATGGACTTGCCACAACTCTCAGCACTTGATTAAATAACAGTACTTATTTACTATATATTTTACTATTGATAAATCCCATTTAAGTACATTTGAATAAATACTTTGGTTATTTTATGATGTGGGGCAATAGAAAATTAAACGTATTGCATCTAGGGCTTAGCAATTCAATATACAATACAACTGAAAAATCAATTATAATTCTCACAGTAAAATTAGACTAGTGATGTCATTTTCCAGATCTACCAGACTCTTCCATCTGTTCTATGATTTGCCTTTACTTACTTAGTCAATAAATCCACATTACTGATGATTATCATCAAATTCTCATTGTAAATATATTATGTGAAAGCATCTATATGGCAAGTAGTCACAATATCGAAATTGAGGTCTTTGGTTAAATATGTATCGGGATATTCTATATTGTTTATATAACCTGGCCTTGATTTCTTGATTAAATAATAAGTGAATATGTTTTTATTTTGAATGCTCTACAGGTATCAGGCACCGCAAGCAGCATCCATCCCATCATCGGCATCATCGACCGCAGTGACATCGGGATCTCAGAGCTCCTCTCCCTCTCACAGACAGAGAAGACCTTCCTCCGCTGCCTATCTTCCACAGGAAGGAGTGAGTCAGACAAGCCCCTGATGTGTTTCAACACAACTGCACACAGGGCTGGCCTGAGTTCAGCGTGGCACAAAGGACTCCAGGTTGACATAGGAGACATGGGGGGAAATCTTATGCCTTGATTTAAAATTGATTTCACCCCTCGTTGTGAGAAATAATCACTTGATATGCATGTGTTCAGTGTGAAGGGGAAGTTTGGATTTTCTTAGTGGGGTTGTATGAGGTACTTATCCATGGTTATTGTATTGTATCATAGTAGTTGATGATTGTTTATTCCCAGTTTGTAGAAACAGACATGGAAGTTAAGCAATGTGCGTCTATTGTGGACAGGGGCGTCAGCAAAATATATTGTAGCCACATAAAAAAGGCCTACCTGAAAAACTCAAGACCAGTTTAAGTGTGCGCAATATTCAAAATATATTCTTTTTTTTACTTGCTACACACAGCCGTTCCGGAGAGGGAATGAATTCCTTTTTGACCCTCCCTCCAAGCCGCCAGACGTCCTTACATAAACAGTAATTTCACCTCCCACAACAGGGGAGTTCTTGATCTACTGCTGCCTTGACCATTTGTTTGGTTTTGTGTGACTTTGATGAATCTAAACTAACCAAAGTACGAACCTTATAAAACCGTACTTCAAAAAAATCTAAACTATCCCTTGAAACGTGAAGACACGCATAGTTTTTGCCAACACTTGTCTAAAGAACATGTTTCTCTTGACTTCCTCCAGTCTCAATGAATAGCACAGACTAAATGTAATGTCCTGAAACCAGACATATTGTATATTGTTTGGAGGATCTTTACAGCTCTTTTTTTATTTTATAAACATTTTAATTATAGTTTATTTTGGAGATGTACCTGTTCTTTGCCAAAACAGTGGAGGGTGGTGAGGACACACCCTGGTTTAGCCTGTATGCTTGATGACTTGTTGCTTCGATTTCTAGCTACTGTAATTGTGAGCCAAAAATGTGAAGAAAGCCTGCAACGCTCTCTTGATTAGCTGCCTTATAGATGTGAAACCATGCAAAGTCCATCTGCTTACACATGAAAGTAAACACTGAAATGATCTCGAACTGCCTTCTGTATTTTCTTTCCAAGACCTACAGATTCCATAATTGCTTGTGAACACAATGTGGGACAATCTTAAAGACATTGCAGTTACAACTCTTAAAAACAACATGTGGGGAATCTTGAAGTCTTTGCAATGGCAGCTTTATAAACATTAAGTGCAGTTATGTAAAGTAACTGTGTACTCAAGTACTTACTGTAAGTGACATTTGGAGGTACTTTTTTATACTAACTTTCTGTATACTTCTACTACACTTAATTTGAAAGAGAAATCATGTAATTTTACTCCACTACATTTACTTAAAAGCTTTACTTAGTTTTAACAAAATGCATCTTTAAAAATGTAAATAGTAGACTAACTCTTTAAGTCACAAAAGAGTACAATTATTTAAAAAATGGTTCAATAGTGATTCTGAATATTACAGTTCTGTAAACTTCAACCATAGAATGCTACTATATTATCTATATAATATACAGTAAATATAATATAAATACTGTTTAATACACACATAAAGCAATTTGTCTGCACAATGATTACTTTTACTTCTTATACTTTATGCAAATCTTGCTGATAATACTTTAACTTAAGTAAGATTTTGAATGCAGGACTTTTCTTGTTTCTTGTAATTAAGTATTTTGACAATAATATATTACTTTTACTCAAGTAAAGCATCAGAGTACTTCTTCCACCACTGAGTACAACATCTGAGTACTTCTTTCACCTGTAATTAAGTGGGACGTTTTGAATTCTTTGCAATGACATCTTTATAAACATTATAAGATAAGATATACTTTATTGATCCCATTTAAACAAGGCATTTCCCACAATGTGAAGATGAAAAGGAATAGGCCTACAACATAAAAATACAAATATAAACATCTCAAAATAGAAGATAAATAACAATACTTTAAAGTTAAATATATACATAATGACAGTGGAAGATATACAAGACTGCCCGTCAAATATTCACTATGGGGAATCTTGAGAACTCTGCATGGCAACTTTATAAACATTGTGGTAACTCTTGAAGTCTTTGCAGTGACAGCTTCATACAGTAGGATGACGTTTCCCTCGGAGTCACGTGACCCTTTTTTTAACAGTAAGTCCAACATGGCAGACGGAGTGGATCTTACGCGGTAACTACAGCAACATTTCAACTGGAACATACACTCAACACTACTCTGCTGCAACAGGACGTCAGCGATGAGGGAGAGACAGAAGAAAAAGAAGGGGAGGACGTGGGCAGAAGCCGCTAAAACGGTATTCTATGCGTCTTTACCTTCGTTTGTTGTGGTTGTTTCCCTTGAACGCTCCCACTTGTACAACTGTGTTTATGAGTTCATGACCTGCTATAGTCGGGATGTTGCGTGCTCCGCGCGAGGCCCTGTGTTGACGGTCAGACATTTGGAGCAGCGCTGTCACTAGGGCTAGTTAGCTGTCACCGTAAATAAGCACACATTGCACCGAGGTGACGGTCAGCTGTGTGCACCTAAGCATGTTTTTAAACCCCTTCTCTGTGTTGCGTCCACTAAACAAGGTTGACATGTTTGTCAGGATTCAAAGCGGATTGAAAGTAACCGTTAAGTAATCACGTCACAGCTGCGCTAGCCAGGTTAGCATGCTAGCTCCTGCTAAGTTCGTCAACAAGTTTGTGAGGTTCGAGCCTCAAATAAAACACCTTATGACGTACAATATCTAAGCTAAAGTAATTCCCCTGACATGATCCCAACTCCATGATATATCAGCGAGTTAGTATATTGCATGTCACGGTTTGGGGATTTGTCAGAATACACTGATGATTGTGGTTAGCATTGTAGCTATCTGTCTAGTGTAGCATGCCATCAACTACAACATATCAAAACTCCCAACAAGCAGTGGTGGAAAAAGTATTCAAATTTTACTTAATCAAAAGTTGAAACACCATGCAATAAAATACTTAGCAAAACTGCATTTCAAGTAAAATGTCTTATTCAGAATGTTACGTAAGTATTACCAGCTTAATGTACGAATTACCCAGTATGCAGAATGGCACCTTTTAGAAGTGTTGTGTATGTGTATTCTTTGTTTTTGACGAATAAATACGTGTATAAATATTTGATATTGTTGTTTATCAATGTTTTAGATCAGAGATCGAACAGCACTGAGTTTTCTTAGGAACACAGTACTGCATCAAATACAAGCACATCTTCCTTTTTTGTTGAGAAATGTAATGTTCAGATAAATGCAGTAGAGTAAAAAGTTATATAATTGCCTGAAATGTAGTGTTGTAAAAGTATAACGTTTCATTAAAAAAAATGTTAATGTACTATGTTAAATCCCACCACTGCCAAATATGTCATAGTTAAAAAGTTATGTTATTGCTTATTTAGACATCTACTTTTAGTTTGACCCCTTAGTTGTTTACAGTATTTAGTTGCATAACGTGGCTATTGATACTTGCTGTAGCTAAGTTATTTTCAAAACACCCATTACTATTGTTGGAATGCGTATGCGGGGCTATACGAACAGTTGATACAAGAATGTACAAGGTGGGAGCAAAATAAAGCATCGTTGTGTTCACATTTTTTACGAAGGCGTGACAGTTTCTATACTGTTACTGTATTGTGAGATGTTTCTATTGTCATGCTTCGCAGTTCTTTACATTTTCTTCAAGTGGTCTTGCTGCTTTTGCTGTTCATGTCGTTACATAACGCAATGTTTCCTTGGATCACACTTCCCTAGCCATGTGTGGAAATTATAACTTTGTAGTTAGACAAACAGTTGATCCAGCAAGTGGAACAACATCATAGCAGAAGATCTTAAAAACAAAAAGCCACAATGTTTGTGTTCTTGATTATTCTGTGTATTGTACAGATGCTTTGTGTAAACCTTTTGGAAAGCTTTAGTATGTGAATTCTTCGGCTTCATGTTTTTATAACAACCACTCTCACTCACTGAACTCATCTGTGCTTTCTTTTTGCCCATAATTATCGTAGGTTTTGGAGAAATACCCTAATACGCCCATGAGCCATAAAGAGATCCTGCAGGTGATCCAAAGAGAAAGGCTTAAGGAAATAAGGTACATATGTTCCAGGCTCCGTAGCTTTACTGCCGCAATGCCTTTCGTAGGGGACACATTTTTCACGAGAGACATCACACAGCTTTCTCCCTCTGTACTCGATTGCTCAAATCACATTCTTCCCTTTCTCTTGTTCACATGGTGACCATTATTCTACTCAATTAATATTTTCTTTCATTTCCTTTTTTTTCATTGTCACTGTTCTCATCCAGAAGGTAAGAAAAAGCTAGCCCCCACCCCTTATCTTAACAAACTCACTGCCACTTAGTTCTGTTTTACCTTTTGCATGTTATTAACAATAACATGTCCTAGGTTCAGTTGCTAAAGACAGTGTTGGACTCCCTCTTGTATTATACCTACACCTGCTATACGTATCTATAGCCATGCATAACATACATTTACATTTTTCAGTATGGTACATTATTCAAAGTTCTAAAAAAGTAAAGAATGGATACTGATGTTTTACTCAACACACAGTTACATGATATCATCCAAAGTATTTAGCGGGGGTGTACATTTAATGAGATAAATGATTGGGCTGGCAATATTGGAAGCCTAACTAGTGTAATTTTCTAAATACATAACAGATGTTACATTTTTTCAATCTATGCGTTTTATCGCCTAACATTTTGCTTATGTACTTTATGAAGTTATAAACTCTATGCAAAACAACACAAATGTAAGTTACATTAATGCTTCATTATGTGCCTCTAGATACATATTTTGCACAACTGCTGAAGCCTTATTGTGCACTCTTAATTAATTCAACTTTACAATAAAAGGTAAGCCGATTTTGTGCAACAGACATAATAATTCCAGACCAGTTTTATCCGAGATTATCAGGTCGTAACAATCTGACCTGAACTCCTACGTGTCCTCCTGGAGCATCATAGCAGTTTCTCCCCAGATATCAGAGCAGCCTTCACCCTTCTTACATCTTTCTCCCAGCTGTGTGATTTATTGCAACAGATGTGTGATTTGCGTTTTTCTCTCATGATACAGTGGAACCTCGCCGCTGGCATGTCTGAACGCAATGCTGCACACAAACTCTCGTGGGGATGAGGGGATCTTCTACAAAGTTCCCGGCAGAATGGGGGTCTACACTCTTAAGGTTAGTCTCACTATTGCGCTCTGTAAGGCTATAATTGTGACTGGGCTGCTCAGTAAAAGAGCACTCACGATGTCTATCTACTTAAGAAAGGTAAGAAAACATTCATTATAATATGATGACCAAAGATAATTATGTTTAAAAATGTATTATACTAAAATGTGAATGCTTTGGTTTTGTTTTCAGTACGGGTTATGGTTAGGTTGATTGAGATGTTTTGGAATTTCTACTTGGCTCTTCTTCTCCTGAATGTATAACATAAAGATAACACACTCTATGTTTTATTTTATTTTATGTAGAAGGACATTTCAGACGTGATGAAGGAGCTTTCTGAGGAGGACTCTGAGGACAGCAGTGACAATCTCTCTGACTCCCAAAGCACAGAAAACAACAGCAGTGCCATCGCTGGAGATGGCAGGAGAGGGAGGTGGATGCGGAGAGGTACTGTCATTACTAACCGTTTGGACAACACTAAAACACTTAGGTCACTTATTCCAGTAGAGTTCACAGGCCATCATCTACAACAGTGACCACCAACTGGCGGCCCGCGGGCCACATCCGGCCCGCCAGACATTCTCATCCGGCCCGCACGACAGGGGGGGGACTGTGGCGTTGGCGGAGTGGTTACTGTGTTCGCCCCCCACCCATTTTTACAACGTTTCGTGAGTAAGGTGCAGTACCGGAGTCCAACAGAGAGGCAGCAGCTGCGGGACAGTAGACTGCGTACCGCGAAACCTTCCCTGCCTTGAAGAAGAAGTGATCCTTCGTTGTGAAGAGTCTGGTTAATGCGCTCCGCACCACAGCAGTAGCCCCGCTGCGACAGAGTCCAACAGAGAGGCAGGAGCTGCGGGACAGTAGCCTAGAAGCAGGGTTGGGTTGTAACGGAATATATGTAACGGCGTTACGTAATCAGAATACAAAAATCAAGTAGGCTAACTGTATTCAGCTGGCGTTACATTTGAAAAACGAATAATCTGATTATAGTTACTTTCGTAAACCTGAGTGAATACATTTTGGAATACTTATTGGAATTATTGGTGGAAAAGATTCCTCACAAAATGTAATCATTACTGGCAGAACTGTGTGCACACTGCAGCATGTCTGAGCGAGAGAGAGATGCAGCGTGTCTGTGAGGCCCCGCCCCCGCACGCAGATGAGAGAGAGAGAAATATATTGAAAGTTAGAAACGGAGATGGTTAGATAAAATGTGCAAGATAACGTTTATGTAGCATTTATTTATTGTCGAAATGATGACATTTATAACGGGATCAAAGTGAATGGCCTGCTGCTGCTGAATGCATGGGGCAAGTGACTGGAAAAGGTTTTAATAGTTATTACATCGTTTCAGATAATAAATAATAATGATAATTCATTCTATTTAGGGGCGCCTTTCAAAGCACCCAAGGACACCTTACAATTCATAACATATTCTAAGGAAAGGTTTTAAGACTAAGACAAAGAATGCAGTCCGGGTGATGTTTTTTATGTGGGGTGCAGATGAGAGGGAGCTGTCCAGAATGACACCAAGATGTTGTGTTTGAGTTCTTGATAAGCCATTAAAACAGTAAAATAAGTGTGTCCTGTGCACCAAAACATACCCATCTGTTATGGAAAAAGAAAGTATTCCAAAAGTATTCTAAAAGTAATCTGAATACGTAACTGTAACTGTATTCTGATTACTTTCAGAGCATGTATTCAGTAACTGATTACATTTACAAAGTAACCCTCTCAACCCTGCCTAGAAGTGATCCTTTGTTAGCGTGAAGAGTCTGCTAAGCTTTATGCGGTCCGCAGTACCTGAGTGTGCTCCACTAGCCCCCCCCCTCGGGTCTGGGGAGACCCAGCAGAATTGTTGTGGGTGACTCGAGGTCAAATTTGGCCCAATCAAGATTCATCTTTGACTTTAGACAATCTTTTTTAAAAAAGATTTTTAATTTTGAAAAATAAATAAATACATGTTCAAATAAGTATAGAAACCAAGTCGAATTTGTCAAATGTATTGAACTGGTGATCACAGTTTGAACAGTTGACAGCTGTAGGCCTACAGCTTTCATGCTTAAAACATAACATTTAAATTAAAGGGGATCATACACGAACAACATAACGGGTTAGGGTAACGTAACCCTATCACAACAGCAGCCATATCATTAGCTAGAACTAGCTAGATCTGATGGATTTGGACATAAATGCGAGTGAAGTATGACCGAGAGAGAGAGATCAGCACCTGCAGCTCTGCCCGCTGTGAGGGACCGGTGAGCGGAGCAAAACACACCTTTAGACCTAACACATTTAGCTATGGCACTGTCGTATACATTGAATTATTCCATTTGATAATGTGTAATCAACTTAGGCACCCCTACCAAAAAACAAAATTACAATACAAATATTCATAACTCACATTCGAATACCTGAATAATTTTGAATATTCGATTAATCGTTCCCATCCCTAACTCCTACCCCATCACGGTGTTCCACAATAACTCCTGAAACCTTTCTGTATGAAAGGTGTTTATTAAGAATACAGGTTTCCCAGAACACAACACCCAAATATATAAAATGGGAATGTGTGATTATGGGAACAGAAAATGGGAAAATGGTGTCGTTGCTGTAACAAGCCTGCATCATCTCAACCACCATCGCTTCAAAGTGCACACAGACCTCTTTTACACACAGATGTTCTAATTGAGGAAACACACCATTACAACAACGAAAATAAAGCATTCAGCTTCAGGGAAATGTTCCGCAAAAATAAACTGTAAACGCAGTTATTCATCATATAAAAGCAGGGATTTTAGCCTCTGCAGAACATTTACATGCACTAAAAACTAGAACACACTACAGGAAAGGGGAAACCCCAAAAAGCATAATAGGGCTCATTTAATAAAGTATTTTTGGTATAGCTGAGAGTCAAATATAGTGGAATAAACAGTATAACATGGCATGGAGTGGAGTAGAAGAATTAAGAAAACTAACCAGACTGCAAAACAGTTTCCTGCCAATCAACTAAATGACCAGCCAAGTAATTGATACAGCTCTAATTACTACTATTACCATTGATTGGCAGGAAACTGTTTTGCAGTCTGGTTAGTTTTCTTAATTCTTCNGTTGTCAACAAATCCCATGAAAATACACCGGGCTTCAAAATGTCCTAAAACAGCTGGGTGATGTCGTTTTTAGTAAATGCTATTCCTACAACGGTAAGCAGTTACTTTGTTGTGGATTATTTTAAACTGTGGATGAATCATTTTTGAGCGCACCAGTGAGTATACAGCAACAGGAAATTGTACCAGTGACTCACAATAGACTGCAGTCTCACTGCAACGTTGTGGGTTTATACATTTTTGGATAGCAATGGAGGACTATGGAAAAGAGGAATATGCTATGCTAGGCTTTGGCACACAGGCAATACTTGATATTAGCATAGGAGTGTTGGATTAGTATTTGTTATTGCAAGCCCTTTTCTTTGAGTTTTCCAAACCAATCTGTTGAATATAAGTAGAAGTGTGACTTACCTGTACTAAGGCGGCCTGACCTCTGAGAAACCTTCCTGGGGACAACCGGGTGGCATAAGTCTGTGTTGACAGAGGGAAAAGAGTAATTGCACGTCAGAGATCTAACTCTCATACTCAAGTTGCCAAATAAAGGAGTCATGTTTAGATGATGTCTTTTGTTGTGTCGTTATGTAAATCTATCAGGACAATACCTAAGATCTGTATCAGTTACAGTCCTTTATCATCAAACCTTTTTGTTATATCATGCATTAAATATCCCCTGTGACTACTACTAGTGTAATTCTAAATTGTATTTGACAGTATAATAGCTGCCACCTACCGGTCTTTGTAGTAATGTTGTCAGACATATCTTTGATGGTTTTCAGAAGCAGTCTAGGACTGGAGGTGGTTGGCATCCCCACCTGTCTGCGCTGGTTTCTCTGCTGCTGCTGCTTCAAGGCCTGAAAAACAAGTCCAATAAGAAGGGAATAAATAGCCAGCAGAATGAGAAACAGAGAGTGTGAGTAACCCTCTGCTTTCCTGCAACTACTCCCCCGGGGCCACTTGCCTGGTTAAATAACCGCTAAATGACAGGGCTGCAATGAAATAGGTTGCATAAAACAAGCCTGAATCAAATCTGTCGAGGAGTCTGATCAACTCAAAAACACACTGTCAACGGATTAAAGAAGCAGACAGTTCGCTGAGTGACTGTGCTTCGACTCAGCTGATTGAAACAGAATCACAGAATACAAATACACAATAAGTATCTCCAGCACTTTTATTTCAGTAAAATTGCTTCATCTGTTGTATCCACGCCCAATAAAAGGAACACAAATTGGTCTTACAGAGCCGCAAAGTACACACCAGCACAGATGGAGTGAATTACAATCAAGTGAAATCTAATTAAACTGAACACAAAAGGCATGAAGCCGCCATTAGAAAGATGTTGACCAGGGTGGATTATGAGCACATTAATACTGAAAAACCAGCTATAGGCATTTTTCCAGCAGCGTCATTGTTTTTAAATAATTAGCACAAGATGTTTTACAGGCGGGAATGGAAATATAGTCGGCGCCTGCTGACACGCCAACATGGGTTGTTTACACATTAAATGAAAACGTGTCAGCAAAAAAAGTGTCTGCAGAAAAGTGTGAGTAAGAGGTGTGAAATACAAATTCAGATCATTACTGTTTTTAGATTTAAGTGTAGTAGTCTCCTTTAAATGCTATACACTTGGTCTACAAATGCAATACAAAATATATTACTTTACTAAACAAGAATGTGTGTTAAAGTGTGAGGTAGAAGGGATTTGTATGGGTGTTTGTGAGCATGAGGGTGTGGCAGGAACTTGTTTAGAATCTGACACATGCTTGAACAAATGGTGAATATAGTTAGAAGCTGTTTTTAACATAATAAACAATTAAAAGAACAAAGAAAAGCAAACCCAGTAGTACCTGTTTGAGAGCTTTCTTGCTGTGCTTCTGCGAGGGAGAGATGAGTTTACCGCTGGGGACAGAAGGCGACGAGCATCGAGGCTGCGGAGAGGACGGCTGTGACTGCAGCTTGGAGGGAACTGCAAACACAAAAGCACCAAACAGATGTTACAAAATACACTTCCCGAGGGTGGTGTACAGACTTTGTCACATCATGCTTTGTGTTGATGAAACTGAATCCAATACATTGCACAAAGAAGTAGATTGCATTACCTCGCTAAGATATCACATTACAAGAAATGAGCTGAACATCTGATTGTTCCCAACAACTTCTCTGTTCTACATTTCTATCACCACGCCTTCTCTACATAATGTACCAGTTTTATTTGTTTATTATTCAATGTTATCTCATTTGCATTTGACTTTGTGTCTCCTGCATTTAAAAATAAAACGATATCTGAGGCCTCCCACTCAGATATAAAGCAAGGTTATTTGCTTGGCAGCTCCTAACTTGTGCATAATGAGGAAGTGGTTAGGGTCACACTGAGAAAATACAGTTTCCTGCTTTAACAGTCACTTAAAATATACAAGTGGCAGAGAGAAATAATGAAAGTCAGTGAGAGCACAGCCTGAGGAAAACAAAATAATTGCTACTCGAAGAAGGGCTCATTCAGCAAAGTTGCCACGCAATCCGGTGCAATCAGGTGTGCAATTCACTAGACAGCAATGATTTGACCCCAAAGAGAAAAAGCTGCTGTGATGTGACCGAAGTGTTTACAGCCTGCAGCCTCTCTGCTACAATTACAAAATACATTATTGGAACAACATAAAAAGATAAAACCCACCTCTTGCTATCATCATGTCTGATGCTCAGAGTATTCCAAGCATTATCTTGAGGCCACGATGCAATGCGTGTTCGCCTCTTCTGATGCTACTTCAGCTGGTTTCCTGTGTTTCCGCAATGACTTCTAACCAGAGCTGCGAAGGGGCGTTAACTATCTTAGTCATTACTGATAACCAACCACTGGAAATCAGCTAATGAGCAGAGCTTCATTCCTTTCTTATTGTTTTGTTTCTAGTGGGGCTGCCTGAATGATTGTTCAACCCCACTGACAATTATACAAAAAGAAAGAAGCTTTATCCATTTAATACTCTAAACAGAGCTTTCAAATTAATGTTGGTTAGCTTGAGAAATTAGTCTACCACCAGGATCATTTAGCTCAGACTTTCCTACATTTAACCCTTGTGTTGTGTTCCAAAGCTGTTACCGTTCATGGTGTTCGCGGGTCAATTTTGACCCATGATTTATCTCAGTCCAAAACACAAAAAAAAAAATGACTATCATCCAATATTGTTTTAACTACATCATAACTAACTTATAATGCATTGATAACCGTACAATCTTGTTGTCATTTTATGTTATGGCCCCAAAACAGATTACACCACATATTGCACACGTGCATATTAGGGATGGGAACGATTAATCGAATATTCGAAATTATTCAGGTATTCGAATATTTTTTTTTGGTTGGGGTACCTAAGTTGATTACACATTATCAAATGGAATAATTCAATGTATACGACAGTGCCATAGCTAAATGTGTTAGGTCTAAAGGTGTNTTACTAAAAACGACATCACCCAGCTGTTTTAGGACATTTTGAAGCCCGGTGTATTTTCATGGGATTTGTTGACAACAAGAAAACACTAACCTCATCCAATAAAATAATTTAAAATAATCGCTGAAATGTATTTCTGCCTTCTTGCTCGGACATAGATAGATTGAACTGCTATATTTCAAGAGTTTCCCACATTAGTAAAACAAAAAAGTTATAAAGAAGAACAAATAATTTGACTGCTTGTGAGAGTGAGCTACTCTC